ATATTTTAAAGTATTATATCTCCTGCCAGCCTTCTTTTCATAAAGCTAGATAGGCCCAGCGCCTTCAATTTCTCTACATGAGACTTAGTTTCTAGTTTCTTGATCGTCTTTATTATCCTTCTTTACACCTGTTCCAGAAGCTGTGAATCATTCCAATTACTGTGACTCTGATATCCAGAACTGTATCTTATATTTTAAAGTGAGTCTGACCAAAGCAGTAGTTATTCCATTCAATTTGATAACTATATTTCACTTAATGTAGTATAAAGTGTGTTTGCCTTTTTTGCAGTCACACTCCTGACTCATAATCAGTTTATTGCTATTATTCCAAGATCAAGTACAAGTACTATTGCAAAACTAGATGTCCACTTCCATACTTATACATTCGTTATCTGATTCTTAAGTATATAATTTCCCATTTTGCTTCTTAAATTTTACTATATTTTCAGCTCACATTTTCAAATTTTCATTAAACTTTTGGTGCATTTGATTTCTGTTGCCTAATTGAATTAATTTTCCATATGTCCCTGTTAAATTTAATTTCATTACTGTCAGTCCATTTCTCCAGCTCATCAAAATAATTTTATTTCTGACTTCTAGGGGAGGGGTCCCCAACCCCCGGTCTGTGGACCAGCATTGGTTCGTGGCATGCAGAAACTGGGCTGCGCAAACAAGCGAAGTCCCATCTGTGGGCTGCAATGCCGCCTCTGGTCCACGGAAAAACCTCTCTCCATGGAACTGATCCCTGATCCCCAAAAGGTTGGGGGCTGCTGTTCTAGGGTACCAGATGCCAATTTTGTATCATCTGCATGTCTGATAAATATTCTTTTCACCGCTTCATTCAAATAATTAATAATGCAGAGAATTTGAGACTGAACCTGTAACACCCCATTCAGTATCTCTCTGTCTGAAAAATTATTGAAGTTCATTCTGTTTGAGTACACTTTTTGAGTAAGATAAGCATCCTTTCCATTGTCATGACCTCCAGACCACAGGTTTGTTATTCAGAATGCATGGTGTAAATAGAAATGTAAATAGACAGGCAGACATAACATCTAATGATCTAATAAGTTACCTGAGCAGAAAATAAGATTAGACTAGCTTCTTGACAAATCTAACTTTGACAATCTTGTCTAAAAAATACATTCTTCTAGTAACCACATTATGCATAATGTTACTGGGCCATGTTATCTGAGGGACTGCCTCTCTCTGGCTATACCTGCATATCCTTTTGGATGCCAAAGAGAAAGCTGTGGATCCCACCTGCTCAGAAAATATATCTGCTGGGTCCCAGGAGGAGGGGCTGCTCTGCCACAATGCCCACCTTGTAGAATATTCTCCCTCCAGCGCCCAAAGTGAGGCTAGCTCCATCCCTCTCCAAATTCTGCAAGTCCCTCAAGACCTGGCTATGTTATCAGGCCTGGGTGTTTCAGGATCCTTTACTGTGGTTAATATCATCATCTCTTGTTTTGTGTACCTTTCTAATAGTTACTTTTAAATTGTAACTGTTTTAAAAGTATATATGGTTTTTTAAAATTAAGTGTTGTATGCTTTGTGACATGGGCAGCTATACAAAGATAGATAGATAGATAGATAGATAGATAGATAGATAGATAGATAGACAGACAGACCAATCGACAGATAGCAAAAGGTCCATCCCTTTAGGATATGATATGCAATCTTTCCAGTTGCCTTCCTCCAGTCATCTTATGCGTCATCCATTCTCCAGGATTTTTCAAAGTTAATGCAGAAAGGCTCATGCTTAGTTTCTTCAGCATTTTACAATACAATTTATCCCATCCTGGATAGCTAAACCATATTGTTAATAAACAAGTATTTTCCAACCGTAGCCCTAGCATTTTTAAGCTTTGATCCTGCCCTTTGATCCTGCTCCTCACAATTTTATAGTAAGATTTTCTTGTTGGACAAAATTAAATCAGTGAAGGAAAATAGCAATAGCACTTAGACTTATATACCACTTTACAGTTCTTTACAGTCCTCTCTAAGCAGTTTACAGAATTAGCATATTGCCCACAACAATTTGGGTCCTCATTTTACTGAGCTTGGAAGGATGGAAGGCTGAGTCAAACTTGAGCCTGGTGAGATTTGAACTGCCAAATTGCAGGCAGCTGGCAGTCAGCAGATGTAGCCTGCAGTACTGCACACTAACCACTGCGCCACCGTGGCTCACTAGGACCTGAATCATTCTGCTTTGGGTATAATAGTTTTCTTGCTCTCCTTCCTTTTCTTTCGAATATTTCTAAATGAGTCCTTTTTCTTGTTTTTAGCTTCCTTTACTAACTTCATCTCAGTCCAAATTTTCCATTTTTTCACTTTATTTTTACAGTTCTAGCACACCTTTATGTACTTTAACTTCCCATTCCTTGTATGCATCTTTTTATTGTTTTCAGATCTTCACTAAGTTTCTTGTGCAGCGTTTTCTTCTGTAGTTCTTCATTTTTTTCATCCACAATGGAATTATTCTTAGAATAGGATATGTTTTTCTTGTATTCTTTTTTCAATGTTTTCAGTATTATATAAACCTGAGCATTCTTACTTCTGTCTATGCTGTTCAAATCTCTTTGTTGTACTTTAGCCTCCCAGCCTTTATATAGATTAATACTGTACTATGTCTGATTTAAATAGAATGAAAGGTATAAATGCTATGTCTGAGAGCTGTCTTCTGCGAATGTTTATCTATTTTAGTATTTAATGATTTTAAAAGCAGTTTTCAGTTATAGAGCACTTTACAATACTTCCTCAAAGTAACATATAGTAGAAATATATCTTTTTCATTTCATCTTAAATATGTAAGTATTATTATTTAGATTATCTGGAGTTCACCAAAACAAGAAAGCAAGACAAAAATGATTTGGGAAACTAATTTAATGAAATGGAACATAATACAACTTCTGCTCCCTTTTGTCTGCAATGCAGTAAGTGTATTTGCCATCTTATTTCACTAGATTTCTTATAGTACATTTGATCACTTAGCTTACTTCCTAGTATATCTATTAGTATTAATATTTTTACATATTTTTACCTTTTGTAACCCTAATGTGAATAACAGTGTATTAGAGGAAGCCAAAGGGCATTCTACTACCACAGATGTTCTGGTCTTTTTTAAAGAATATATGTGACACACAGTGTCATGTAAGCATAAATTCCCTCACTTGCCTTTATTCTGCCCCTTCAAATCTGCTTCAAAATTCCTTCCTCTCTCCAATTTTAGAAGTGCACAGTGAGTTGTAGAGGAGAAGAGAACCTATTTCAAACATGGAGATCCATTGATAGAAATATATCTTTGGGATAAAAGTGGTACTATTGAATAAAATCCAAAGATAGAAGAGTCTTTCTAATAAAATATTTTTTACTATTTTTAATAATATGGTTGAAAGCAGAGGAAAGTCTGTTACCAGTTTAGAGAAAATGCCTCTATCTTAAAAGTGATGAGCATGGTTGTTGGTACTATCCTTGTTCCATCCAAATAAAAATACTGAGTATCTGCAACAGTCACCTACATAAGTGAGCACCGTGGAAAATCAGGGTGCTGATCATCAGTTGCCTGGAATTTCTCCATGGGTAGAATGGTTCTTGACTGGAGACATCCAGAGAGGAAGCAAAGGAGAATGAGGCTAGTATGGTGTCTGATAAGACTACTTCTATAAATACTTACCTGAGTTCATTCAAATGAACTAAACTCAACTAGATTTTCTGCAATATAAGAAAACATAGTTTTCCATTTCCTTACAGACTAGTGCAGATACCTTAATGGGCCAGAAGGATAAATAGGTCTTCCCCCAATACTTTAGGGAACTCTTTCCCATTTGCTAACATCATCACACAGAATGAACTAAACAATCTCTATAAAATAATCTCTTATTTTAGCAGTTTTGCTGAGGAATTATTGGGATCAGCAACTCTTAGGGAGAGAAGTTTTAGTCATGGAATCCCAGCATGCCCTATAATGTGAGGATGTCACCACATCTGTTGATCCAGGCATTATCAGTTACCCGTCTTATTCTATATTAACTTATGCAGTCAATACGTTCTGCTGATACCAACCCAGCCCAACATTTACTTCAAAAGGATCACCCACCTTTGCCTCATACAGATAATTAATTATTGTTAGGAGTTGGCTTTAAGTTGAATCAATAAAAATGTGAACTTCTTTTCTATGTAATGTATGTCAAATATCTCAAATCTGCCTTCCTGATCAGGGATGATTTCCCAAGCATTCACACTATGCTATGTTCACTTTTAAAAATATAATGGTTCTTTCATATAGTGCATTCACTAATGCTATAATTACTACATCAAATATGAATTCATGAATGTCACTGTTTGAAAGGTGAGCTTCTTCTCCTTCTGCTTTTGTTTTAGGTTTGTCTTTCAAACAAATATTTAATGAATCCAATAAAGCATAAAAAGACAGTACGGTGCCCATGGATACCAATATGGCATGCCCTGGATATCTCCTTTGGTTCTCAAAGCCTCATCTATTCTTAAATTAAAAAAAATATATATGAATCTGTTACTGTATGCTGTAAAGCATCAGCCTATCATCATATTAAGTGCCTTTTCATCTCAAAATTTTTCACTGGATCCTAGATGGTCAATCTGTCTTCTAGTGGGTCTTTTGCTATCGGCCATGTGCAAAAAGGTATACATTTTCTGTACAGGCAAATATCCCACAGCAGGCATTTTGTGAATGTATCAGCATATGCTTTCAGTTTGAAGCATGAACTAATCTCCCCAAAGCTACTGACCATGTTGTCCTATGGCAAACATAATTACCCACATTCTTTTTAAAAGGGCAAACAAGAGCCCACATATTTCCCATATTTTAAAATGTCAAACGAGTGTCACCTGTAAGTGGTTGTCATAAATACCTAACCAGGAACGGTTGTATGACCCCATATTTGCATTGGATTCAATTTCAGGGACCTCAAAGTAGTGAAAGAGTATAACTGGAAATGCTTGAAAAATGTGAAAAGTGACATTGTTAAGAGCAAGACTTTATTTTTAAAGTTCAGTTAAAAAAAAAAACATATTTAAAGTCACACAGCCCTTTCCCATACATACACAATTAGGTTGGAGCGAGCCCCGTTTCTTTCTGTGTAGATCTTAAACCTGGCCCGACTTGAGCACTGAAGCTTTAAAAAGCTCCTTGAATTCGACCGGGGAAGAGCAAACCCTGAAATGTAAATCTGCAGATATCGACGAGCAAACGTTAATTTTAACGACGCTGTTTTCCTCCCCTCCACCCTCCGTACTTACTGCAGAAATCGCTGCATCCCGGAAGGCTTCAAAAGCACCTTCGGGTTTTGGGCAGTAAAACCTGTTAAAAGATCTCAAGAGACAAAACTCCAGCTCTCAAGTCCACCAAATGGCATTGAAAAAGGCGGGAGGGGGATGGGACAAGAGTGTAATCTCCTTAGAAGCAGGGGGACTTAGATCTTTTTTTTTCTTTTCTTTTTTTTTGAGGCGACTTGGACGCCCGCAGCGACTACGCCGAAGAACCTGGGGGAGGAAACGCCACCCTCCCTTTCTTCCCTCTGTCCTCGCCGTCGCAAGGACGCGCGGAGAGAGACCGCCTCGACCCTTTCCGAGCCGAGAGAGAGGATACAAAACACTGATACAAAACGACCCCACGGGCCCCCTTTTTGCCTCGCTGCAGGCTTCGCCGTCCATCACTTACGCTAGGCCGGCGTTTGGCAGTTACCATAGAAACGCCCGAGGCTTCCTCCGCCTTCGCCAAGGTCTCTTTGCCTCTCCGGCGCGGCGAGTGGCGGGAGCCTGAAACGGCAATCGCTCGTCTTCTCGCGAGATTTGGACGGGCGAGAAGCAGCCGGAGCAAGGCAGACTTGCTCGGTGAGCTCATCCCGGGGCGCTCGAGGAAGGGAGCGAGCTGCCGCAGCAGCTCCTGCACAGTAGAAGAGAAGCGGCCGGAGCAACTTTGTTAGGTGAGTTTTTACCGAAAGGAGGGAGGCGGGCGGGAGAGCGGGCCGCGGGGGGGGGGAGGTCTGAAAGCACGAGGGCGTCCTGCTTTCCTCACCCCACGGTTTTTTTTTACCCCTCCAACCTGCGGGGACCTTGAATGAGTCCGAACCTGACCGCGAAAGATATATCGATACGCTTCCAACATACCCCCCCCCCTCCATCCCGCCTGCGACCTCCCACCCGGGTTTCTTCCCCCCCACCCACCCCACTCAGTTTGCGGCGGGGGGAGTTCCAGACCTGATGGAAACGGTGTAGGGGAAAAAAAAAAAAAACCACACGCCCCCTCTTTCTCTCCCTCCCTCCCTCCCTCCCTCCCCAACTTCTCCGTCCAAGGCTTTTCGCCTTCCTTTTTCCGAGCTTGCAGCCAAATTGACTCCGGAGACCTTGGAGTTATGCGTGCCGGGCGCTCCCCCTTCTCTCCCCAGCCCACGTCCCCCCTGTTCTGCTGCTTCTGCTGCTGCTGCAGGATGCGTCGTCCCCAGCCATTCCCAAATTCATTAAAGTGGGAGGTCCTGCTTCTTTTATTTATTGGGCTTGAGGAGAGAGGAAGAGCTCCTCCTCCTCCTCCTCCTCCTCTTCTTTTCAGCGCCCTCTCTTCCAAAATATTTTCTCTTAAACGTGCCCAAGAAAATGAGCTTGCACGGAAAGTCGGAGAGGTTGGCGTGCAAAACTGTGGGTAGGCAAAGAAGAGCTGACTTGCTTTCCCTGCCTCCAACACCCCCCCCCCCCAAATTTAAACAAGGAGGGGAAAGAAAAAAAAAAGAACCTTCCGTACTGTATTCAGAACAAGATTTCCTTTTTCTTAGCTTTTCTTTCGGTGGCTTTTTGGGATTCATCTCTTTAGGCGAAAACCGAGGAGTCATATTTTCCCCAGACATATTGAGCAAGTTGATTATTTTTTCCTGCGGGCAAAGCTGAGACGGCTGCACCGAAAAAAAAAAAAGGAGGCTAGCGCTAATAGTAGATTTGTATACACAGTACGTCTTTTTCTGTGTTAAGAGAAACACGTATATAAGAAATGGGAGGAGATGCATCGAAGTACTTGTGTGTGTGTGTGTGTGTGTGTGTGTATTGTTGAAAATAATTGCCACTGAACTCAGGCTAAATTCCCTTAACTCGGGATTCAAATACACAATGCTCTCCATAAGAATGCTGCATCTGTATCCAGAGCCTCGACATTCCTTCATTTATATTTAAAAACATTTCTTCATCCAACTCCTAAGGTGCAAGCAGTTTTGGTTCCCAGCTGTGCTTACTTTATTTCAAGCCAGTTTGGACACCATGATAATAATTAGCTAATTCAAAGGTGGTGCCGCTGGGGATATTATACATGTGCATAATGTGGGAAAGGGAGTGGAGTGAAGACTAAAACATAAGTCTTGAAGTTCAGAGAAGTGAATATGGGAAACTGGATCTTGTAGATCAGGTAGGAAGCTGTTATTTATGTTTCAGTTAAAAAAAGCAGTGATTATAAATGTAGATTTGCATTTTATCTTCTGTTTTAAATGCTCTTTTTTTAAAAGAAACAAACAGTATAATTATACTTTTAATTGCATCTGTAGCTATTGGAGAATTGGGAGTTGCAATTATTAATATGTTTGCACTTTTTCTAAAGTCAGAAAAGATTTACAATAGAAAAAGTCTCTAATCTTGACTGATGTGACTCATTTTAAGTATTTCAGCAATTTTATTCATTTTGCAAAGAATTTTGTTTTAAAATCTGCAGTGATTCTAAATCAGCAGTGGCTAATCTGTTTTAACTGCATTTGTGGTTTCGGTGATAATTGGATTTTAGTCTTTGTAAAAATGATTTGCTTTCAGGTAAATAGATTGAGTTTTGTTACATTATGGTTGCCTAGATCTATATGAAGATTGATATGTTCTCAGATTGGTTTTTCCATGATAAAATTTAGACCTTACCCTCATTCAGTATTTGAGTTGTATATGAGGCATGTGTTCATTCATCTCTGTATGTGTAAATTTTAAATAAGTTTCATAAAGGATTTTTTTCTTTTTAGCTTTTTAAATTATGCAGTATGTGTGTATAATTTTACTTGGAAATATAAATCAGTCTTACGGTTTTGGTTTATAAAGTTCCCTATAAGGGAAATGTGTATGTAGTAGTTTTTATTGCTAAAGTATTTTAACTTTTTCATAAGCTAGGCTATCAGTATTATAAGAATGAATTACAGAACTCAACCTTGAACAACTAAGTAAAATACCTTTGACTCAACAGAATGATAGTCAAACAGAAAGTTCTTGTGTCTATTTCTATTTGAAAAGTTCACTTTTCACTTTGCATACAAATTATTAGAGATTATCATCTTGGGGGAGGTTAGAGTATAGTCATTAATATACACTGGATTAATTGGTAGGTAAAAAAAAATTCCAAAGTTGGAATTGCTGGAATTTGTAGAGTTTTTACACCAAGCTAAACTTATAAAAATATAAATTTCATATATTTGGGTAACTTTACTCATCTATTGAATTATTTAATTGAAATAAATTTCAAAACTTGCAAGCAGGTATACCTCTTACCAGTTTCATTTTATCTGCTAGCAAGAAAATGGACTAAGTAGGTTTCCTGTGACAGAATGGGAGATACGTAATTTTTGCCAATTCCCTGTTTTGAAGTGTCACCTCACACACTAATCCAGAGAGTTCTCCAAAGGCTCTATTAAACCTGGTAGAGGAAAGTTAAAGGGCTGTGAGGGAACAAGGGACTTGATGAAATTGCCACCAGCAGGAATGCTTCTGACTCAGAAGTATTGCCTGGACTGAAGAGTTGCTCTGTTCACAGGAACCAAATGAAAGATCCAATCCAAGGGTTTTTATCTTAATCATCTAAACACTTGGATTTATTCCAGTTTATTTAAGCAAATTTGGTGGAGTATAGTAATTTTGGTTTCATGTAAATTAGTGAGATTATATAGTGGATTAACAAATGTGCTTGATAGAAAACATTCAGCTTTATTCATAGAAATTTAAGATAAAGTGATTGTTTACTAGTAGATGTAGATATAACTTTGGATTTAAAAGCTAGAATAAATCAAAACAGCTTGTGGCGTATTTCATTTTCTCACCTGAACACATAGCTCTTGCATATATAGATGCACTTCTGCTAAAATAACTTTTACATTGGTGTCTTCCAATATGTTGGACTGCAGTTCCTGTGATCCACAACAAGCAAACTAAACACTTTTCCTGGGACTGGTTTATTTATTTGGTTTGTATGGCTGCTGATTCACCAATGACTCAATCCCAGTTAGTGTAGCCATTGATCATGTATGATGGGAACAGTAATATAACAAACTGGGTGTCCATAAGTTTTCTTTACACTGAGGGAGTGTTGCTTGTTTAGGAGTCTAAGGAACAAAATAAAGAATAGAGTTTATTTTAAATGAATTAAAGTCTGGGAACTTAAACACAAATGAAACATTTTATAGACCTGTTTCTGATATTATCACATATCTCTGTTGATCTATTTAGTGTCTATGCATACCACACACACACCTTTTAAATAAATAATTTTCTGATAATTTGTCATTCTAAATCATGAATCATGTTTTAGGTTTTATCCAATGAGATTTTCCCCTTTTTTGTATTTAATGTTTGTGTAAGTTCAGCTAGAGGGCTTTCCTTTTGTGTAATATGTGAAGGACAAATTAGAAAACTAGAATTATTTACATCGTAAGTTGACAAAGTGTAGTCTGGGGACCCTTGAGGGTCTCTGAGGTCCCTTCAGGGCCCCACAAAGTCAAATAAATACATACTTTAAAATTTCTCAGTTTTAATAACCCACATAACCTAAAGCACTTTGGGATCCTCAATCATTTTTAAGAATGTAAAGGAATCTTGAGACCAAAATGTTTGAGAACAGCTATTTAGATAATCTGTTAGAGCTGGAAGAGGCAGAGGTAGTTGATCCTGCCTCAAATTACTTTTGTGTTCATCTTCATTTATAGTTCTGCAGTATTTCTTCTCTATGAAAGAAAGAGACACAACATTCTCCACATCTGTAGTTCAGTCTTTGCATAAAGGTTTGCTGCTTAATATTCACTGCTTACAGGGTATTCAGGATTTCCCACTGAGATGAAGACATAAAAACGTCTGTGTTATTTAAAATGTAAATCATGAAGGGTGGTTTCCTAATAACTCTTGGTTTACTGTATTTATTGTGAACTTCTAGGTGGCTTACTGAAATAGCATACATAACTTTAAAGCAGTCATCAAATTATCAAAATTAACAAATATATCTAATAATAAATATGTTCCATATAATACTGTACTGTCATAACAGTCATGATGTCTTGTAACAGCAAAGCAACTATATTCATCCCAAGCTCAGGACTATTTCTCATTCTTGCCTTGGGTCCCAAATGCATGGGTTGGAAAACACGTGTTTTCAGAAGTTTCCTAAATATTAAAAGTGAGGATTCAGTCCTTACATCTGGTAGGAAGGTGTTGTAGAAGAGCTAAGCTGCTGCATAGAATACACCCATCCAATCCCTGCTGCTTTCACTTCATGATGGATGAAGTGCAACAACACTTGTAAGTGTAACAAGCAGTCTTAGCAAGCACTCTCTGCAGGCTTACTTGGAGGTAGTCAGGCCCCAAGCCTTACAGGACTTCAAAAGTGAATACTAGCACTTTATTGGGTCGTAACATCTCTAAAACAGTCTCTAATTAAAGTTGAGGTCTTTGGGAGCAGAATGGGGAAGTTTGTGGATTACAAAATTCCCATGTTTGTACAGTAAATAGGAAAGTCATACTGTAAGTATGATTGCATATATTTTTAATATTTTATC